ATATAATGAAAACAATGCATGTATAATAACATATAAAGAATACTATAATATTGAGCTTAATTGCCTGTTGTTATAAATGAGGAAAAATCCACTATTGAAGAGCACCTGTTATGCATCTTGAAGTGAGTTGTGTATCAGTAATTGTATTGAATTGTAACAAGTGCGAGTGCACAATAATTAAGCTCTGGCTGTCTTGCAAGAAAGTCTTGCATGAAATCTATCAATATGATCAAAATGATCCCTGCCAGAGCTTAAAATGTGAACAGTGGCGGTTCTACGGGGGGCTGGGGGAGGGCTTTAGCCCCCCCCCCCAAATATTCCATAAAATAAAAAATTGCATTAGCGAAAAGAAGGAATGTGACGTACATTCGAACGGTCTCAACTGGGTCAATATTGGTCAAGACCCCCATTGGTTTGTACACAGTAGGCCAGGAGGTGAGGAACAAAATGTTGACCATTGATGACCTCTTAAGTAAAGGGAGGGTTCTAAAGAAATAGTTGTGACAAGGGTGCATTTGAAGTTAATATAGTGTGCCCAATTGTAGGATTTTATTGGGACTCCCCATTGAAAATAAGGCACGCCCCCCTCCCCCACCCCCTTATTGATTTTTGGAGCATTAAGTGTCTGTAGAAAATAAGCAGTCTACATTTCAGCACGCCTCCCTGTAAAATATTCTGGATCCGCCCTGCTAGCCCCCCCCCCCCCGAAAAAAATATTGGCTCTAGAACCGCGCCTGAATGTGACTCCCACAAATGTGACGCTGATGGCACATGTGGAACACCATACTTTAGATATACAGTCAACTCTCGTTAGTACAAACTCTGTTAATACAAAATTCTGGTTATAAAAAACATAAAGACCTGGTCCCGACTTTGCATTTATGTGCACAATGAATGGGACTGATGTTCCTCTTAATACAAAATTCTGATATAACAAACAGTTCGGCTAACGAGACTCGACTGTATACCTACCTGTAGATTTGTAGCGCTTTGTGGTAAATACCAAATGACTATAATTAAAGCACATATTTTGCCTGCATTTACACTCTTTTTATAAACATCTTTCCAAACTGTTACTAACAATTGTTGTTAACTATTTAGTTTATTTTGTTTGCTATTTCTTGGAATTTAAAGTTATATTTTGTAGGAAACTTAGGGGACTTTGTTTTGGTCAAGTGACATGTAGAAGCCCTTGCTAGAGCTTAAAAAAATGGTTATTATTGGCACAAGCTCTGAGCTTGTACCTAATACCAGAGCATGCATGTATCAACTTATTACTGTCAAATTAGACATTGATGATTTAGTCTACTTAGGAGAAGACAATCTAATGATGGCTCAAATTACTCCAATTTTATTCTACCATAGAGTAATTCGACCAAGTCAATGCAATGAGTCGCCCACAAGAAAAATGGGTGTCTCACAAAAACAAATATTTTCTGAACAGAATTGTTTAGTTATATGGGTAGGTCATTCTATAAATTAGGGGTCCAATAGGAAAATGTGTCTGGTTTGTTATATAACTAAATAGGAATGTATTCAAGTTAGTAATACTTTATGTTTAACAAACTCCAATAAAATTTGCATTGATAAAACCTACAAGTTTGTTATCTTGATCCCATTTAGTTCCTGTTTTGGTTAAAAATAAGCCGAAAATTCTCATATTTTTGGCTAAAAAGTGGGACAACAATTACGGTCTACAAAATATTTACATTTTTTCCTCCTTAAAAGGTAAGCTATGCCATTTTTTTAGGTCAAAATGATGGATGTACTAACTCAATTTTACCATCCGGATGGAAGTAAATACATCTCATATTATGAAAAGCAAGATTGGCCATAATTAAAATAACTTAAGGTTTTTGAGCTCTTTTAATGCAATGTCCCACTTTGGACCCCTAATTGATAGATTAACCCATATCCATCTTTCATAACTGTACAGTACTCTTACCATATAATGTAGGTCAAAGCAATGTGATAATTCTCGGGGAAAAAAACACATAAATGCATTGGTAACGAACTGCTTGAATTCCAGGTCATGTGGCTGGAAAACGCTTCAAACTTAATTCTGATAACAAAAGTGGCACCACAATAAGATTATGATAAACTGTAGCATGACTTGTTGTAAATCCCCAAGGTTAAACTTATTTGAATATGTGTTTGTACATGTGTATGTATTATCAAAGTATGTATTATCAAACAGAATGTATTTTTTTACAGTATTAATTTCTGACTTTAATACTATTAAAGGGAAATGTACATCATTGGTAATTGTTGTAATTTTCAGAAATGAACTATTTGATCGGGTTAGTATAATAGATCAAATATTGTTACACTGACATGTTTGAAGTTTTGTGTTCGAAAATGCTGGAAAAACTAAGAAAAACAAAAATGTTTAAGGAGTCTGGTTCTCTGACTCCATTAAAGATGAAATGGATCAATTTATCTTTATCAGGATGCTTTAAACTGTCATTTACCAACATCCTAGTAAGGTTTTTCGTAAAAAAAAGGGTAGTTTTGTTTTCCGATGTTTGCAAATGTTGTATATTCCCTTTAAAGTCAAATACAATGTCGTGGAGGTACAGAAAATGTGTTACTTTAGTTTTCATTGTCCATTTTTAAAGGTTCATTTGATTTTGGCCATTTATTAGCCTTTGGCCGTGTTGGCTCAGTAAAAAAAAATGCTTTGAACTCGGACATGCATCAAGACTTTTTTTAAAGTTATAACATATATGATATTCAGGTTTTTTTCTAAATGAGGAACAATTGATGAAAATTGTGTATAGAAAGAATTGGTTTTGAACTCCGACATGTATCAATACTTTTGTTTTTAAGTTATAAAATCCGGTATGCAGGTTTCCTTATAAATAAGTAGCAATTGAGGAAAATTGTGTAAAAGAAAAATGGTTGAACTCTGTTATGTATCAATAGTTTTGTTTTTTAGAACAATTGAGGAAATACCGTGTAAAAAAGAGTGTTTTTTTAGTGTTACATGATCTGTATGGTATTCTGTATGGTATGGTTTTCTTCTAAATGAGGAGCAATTGATGAAATTCACTAAAGTACATGTATGTCTTCTCGCTGTGTTGAAACTACAGCAACCTGCAGCAGGGGCGCTAAGGGGGGGGGGGGGCTTGCCCCCCCCCCTTCCAAGAAAAAGGTTTCCCATGATTTGACCTTGGTGATATGTATGCGGCCTATTTTCGAGTAATATAATAGGGGTGTAAGTGGCGCCACCAACGTCAAAATAGTCCATCCCCTCTCCCCCCCCCCCCAAAAAAAATTCTGCGACGAAAAAATTTGGGAAAATTTAACATTTTGAAAATTTTGATATCTTCTAAGAAATAATAAAAAAAATCGAGCCCCCCCCCCCCCCCGAAATCCTTGGTGGGCCACTGACCTGTAGCACATATAGTGAGAAACTTTGCAGGTTTTAAATAAAAAACTTTGAATAGCATGTAATTAGAAATGTAATATTGGAAGTTAAGATGAACAAAAAGGTTAAGATGAAAGATTATAATGTCTTATGATTTTTGACACCTATTTGCAATGAATATTAGGCAACATTTTCAGTGTAAGTTAATAAAATATCAGTGAAAACTTCAGATGATTTTTTTCTGTTTTATTCATTCGCACGTTTGTTGCATTGAAGTACGTACATCATAAGATATTAACAAAATCTAATGGAGTCGGCCCCTATCCCTCATCCAATTTGAGACATGGCTTGTCTGGCCCATGCTAGAGAAAAATGCTGTGGATTTGTGGTGCTGCCCCGCTCCCCCCCCCCCCCCCTCCCTACCACCACCAGGATGAAAAAAATCCAAGCTACCTACACCACTGCAGTTCGAATATCTGCATTTGGTTGACACATCCCCCATTGATACTAGTATGCTTGCATATTGGAGCCAGCGGCGCATCCATTGACAATTTTTTTTCTAGTTGAGCCCCCCCCCCCCCACCCTCCCCTCCCCCACCCTCCCCAAGCCAAATCCTGGGTGCACCATTGATTGGAGCTAAAATTAATAAAGCATACTACTTTAATAGCCTTTGATACTGTCTTGGGAGGGGAGTATATGCCCCTTAATGGCCTCTTAGCACTGTTGTCCAAAAATAATTTGAATACTTGCAATGGGTGCATACGTATTTTTGTTTTGCTTGGGAATGGCCCGATCCAGTAAGCACCGCCCCATGGTGTTCTGACCAATCAGTGATCACAGCCGTGATTTATGTCCGACGTGCGTGCACGCGCGTATGATGTGTATGATGCACGCGGAAAGAAAATGCAGCGTGGCATTGGAGAGGAGCACGTGTTAATTTGCCCACATGCGTACTGGGCGGAGCTTACTGGATTGGTCCATTGGCCGTACTTTCTATCAAAGGCTGCATCCGAATCAGCTGTCTAGAGCTAGGTCTACGTCTGCGTCCATTGAAAATACGCGGGGACGCGCTGACAACAGACGTAGCCGTAGCTCTGGAAGCCCGTTTCGTACACGGCCAAAGATCCTATCTTAACCCTTTCAAGCCCCATTGAAAACAGTGTAAAATTGACAAAGTTCAGGGCCAAATAACATGGAGGCCGACATCACTGGGGTTTCTCAAACCAAAATTAAATTATTGTCTTGTCCTTCATCGTTTTATTCCTTTTCAATTTTGGGTAGACAGCCAATTATATTTTTAAATACATTGATATTCACACCAAAACGCAACAGTTCCCAAGCCTGCATGAAGCCCTTCCAGAAGTTCCACTTTCTCAGGCAAATAGGACTCATTTTTCAACCGTAATTTTATCAAGTCTGCCCTCAGATGGAAGTCCCGAAAACCAGGGAGTTGATCCTTGACCATATTTACACAATTCCACTGTTTTTAAAGCCGAAACGGTGTCCGTTTTCAAAAGAAATGGGGGGGGGGGGGGGGGAGGGGGTACCTTTTATGCTAATGTTGTGAGCTCGCGTAGAAATTCTAACTTGAATGAGTGCACTGCACGCCTAGCGCTAGAGGGCGCAACGTTGGCTCGCTTGTCATCATTTCCATTATTTTAGCAAACACTAGAGCCAGCTGAACGGACCGTAATTACTGGGCGAAAACACAACTTTTCTTTGAAAATGACGCGGCATCAAAGAAACTGTACTGCTGGGACTGTTTACACTTATCATGAGCGGCAGAAAGATGCAGGTAAGTTTTCTCATGGAGCTGTTTCATTTTTACGTAGGCCGCCCTGCTACTGCTAGGCCTAAATGAAAATAAACGGCCACAGGTAAAATGACGGGAAACAGGACAACTCGTACGCGGAACAACTCGTACGCGAGACAACTCGTACGCGGTTTGGTCAACTCGTACGCGGGCCAACTCGTACGCGCGACAACTCGTACCCGGGCCAACTCGTACGCTGGCCAACTCGTACGCGGGTCAACTCGTACGCGGAGGATCGCCAACTTGAAGATGAATTTTACCCCAAAACACACGCCAAAGTTAACGATTCATCACAGCGGTGTGATTGTATGACTGAATGACTGTAATTGTAGTTATATATATTTTCAACAATTTTAAATTCCATAAATGCAACGATGTTCAAGTTCACAAGTTTCAATGATAAATTAAAAAAAAAAACATGATCCTTTTTGCGACCGATGTGTAGTGCAATGCCGCGGCATGCTCTTCCAATCACGCAGCTAGTGTGGAGAATTTGTCAAGATATATAATCAACGACTTGATTTACACATGGCGTGGGGCCACTATAGCAGTGTATTGTTGGAAGTCTACAAATGCAGTGGACATTATACATTTAAATTCTCACTACACGGCATCATCTTGTCGTAAAGTGTGAGCTAGGATCGGACCGTCGGACTTGCCCGACCGTGTGCGAGCATGGCGAGTGGTCTGGGAAAACAAATCATAACTTTTTTGTTATGAGCAAAACAAGCTGATTTAAAGATGAACTGATTGGGACCACTCAGTGACACAAAATAATCCCCTTAACTTAAGGGAAAAAGAATGTGCTGGACAACTGACCGACCCTAATTTCCTACACGCCTGAACCTACGGTTTCAGTAAAATCCCTTGTGCTACGGCTGCTAGTCTATACTCACGCATACGAGTTGGCTCGCGTACGAGTTGGTCCGCGTACGAGTTATCCCTCGTACGAGTTGACTCGCGTACGAGTTGGTTCGCGTACGAGTTGTCCTGCGAGCGAGTTGGTCGCATACGAGTTGGCTCGCGTACGAGTTGACCTGTATTCAAATGAGGCACTCGTGGAATGACGCACTCACCTTTCATGCAGTGTGCGTGCGCGATGTATGTGAGTACCATACTGCTTTCAGGCGCGCTAGTGGTTTGAATTTACTTGGTACTAGCTCTACTGAGTGGAGCGTTGAATTACGGGTACCCCTCCATACAAACGCTCCACCGATTTACCATACTTTGGTAGCACTTACACGGTCGTCATGACGGTATGCATTTTGTGCATGCCCTCGCGAGGACAAGGCCCCAAAAAACTGATAAAGAAAATACAAATGAGGAAGACAGTAACCCTGGATAGATCCACACATTCATGACATTCCATAAGACCCCTCAAATTGTTTCAAACAACCGGTAATTTTGAAAAAAGAACAAAATAGTCTGAACTTACCGCTCACAATTAAATGTGTCTGCCGAATTGCACAGTCTATTTCACTGACATGACTGATGCATAATTCATTGCGCGCGTGTGTGACGTCACTATTGAAGAAAAACAAGTTGCGCTTACTCAATAGCTGTTTCATGTAGTCATATGTGCCCCGCGCCGTCTGACTGTGGGTTTTTGGTGCGGGGCACATATCAGTACATGAAACAGTCATGAATGTGTGGATCTATCCAGGGTTACTGTCTTCCTCATTTGTATTTTCTTTATCAGTTTTTTTGGGCCTTGTCCTCGCGAGGGCATGCACAAAATGCATACCGTCATGACGACCGTGTAAGTGCTACCAAAGTATGGCAAATAGGTGGAGCGTTTGTATGGAGGGGTACCCGTAATTCAACGCTCCACTCAGTAGAGCTAACTTGGTACTTGGTACTTAGGGTACAATTGCAGAATACCCCGCCATTCAATCTATCCACCTCGTACTCGTAGCCTAGTTTGAGTAACTCCAGCTGACATGCTCATAAGTCATATTCATTCACATGTAGCGCTGGAGGAATAGGCCTAACCTCGTTAGAGTGTGGTAGCAAGAGACCCTAAAAAAATGGCCTCTCAAAAATTGTTCATTTTCACCTCTAATATCCCACCCCAGAGTTCATTTACATACCTCATACATTCAGCAGTCATTTACTAAGCCTAATGATCGACTTGAAACAGACCACACAAAAAAATGTGAAAAATCTTGACGATTTCGAAGGCTTGTCCGTAAAAAAATGCCAGTTCCAACGGTTGTCGTCCATTTTAATTTGCTAATTATGTAAATGTATGCATCACGTGGTGACATCGAAAAAAATCTGCGCGCGTGATGTATGTGGGTACCACACCTCTTTCAGGCACCGCAAGTGAGTTCAATTTTCGTCTGGTGCGTTGTCGCGGAAAGCAAGACAACGAGAATGCTCTCCACGACAACGCACCAGACGAAAATAAAGGCCACACTTGGAACATGTACCTGAAAATGTAGAACTTTGTCAAGTTTTTATTTTCACATTTAGATTTTGTAGTGAGGCACAATTACAGAATATGCACGTTTCCCCCGACTTTCTTTGTGTAATGTTGCCAAACCTCTCCGTAGAAAAACCTTCAAATTTATTCAGTTTAATAGTGGTACCATTTCCTTAATAATGCTTGCTGTTGAACCTTTGTGAACAATTTAAGTGTCATGAATAAGTCCAATATTCAAAAACGGTGGCGTCCGGAAATTGGGCTCAAATTTGGCCGAGAGTTCCGTAACGTGGCGCACTTGAACAAATCTCTTAAAATCCCACATTAGCGTCCAAAGAATTTCATTAAAGTTGATAAATTCTATTGAATCATTATTATCTACACTCACATACACAACTACAAGTTTGTCAGCAAATTATTTTCATATTTTTGGGCAAATTTTAAAAGGGTTCATTGTGCACTTTGAAAAAAAATCGGAAAATCATACCAAAATAGAATTTTCCTAACTTCGTAGCGGGTACATAAACTCAAGATTTAGGAATGTGAATGTCTAGAGCTTGATTAAATTTCTTTCTTTTTTTTGTGAAATTTGACGTAACAATTTTGCTCCAACAAGGCACTAGAGAGCGAAAAATCAAAGTGCACCACTTTGAGGGCCGCGCCACATTAGGGTACATCAACAGTAGGGTAAACTGGGGTAAAAATGCCCGATTTTTAAGTTTTTGTTAAATATCTCAGTACTACTTGGAGACACCAGGAAATAAATGTGTGGTTTTATGCAATACATGTCTCCTCTATCAGGTGCAAATATAATATCATGGTCATAATATTGATAGGGGGAAATTTTCCCCCCTTTTCGGAAGGAAGTTTGGCGGGCGTTTTTACCCGGGCCTCGGGGTAAAAACGCCCGCCCACATTTATAAAAAAAAAATGGCTATACCACAGGCTTCCCTGTAGTATAGTCATATTTTTGTAATTAATTTAATATTGAGGGATACTTCATCAAATACAAATAACTTTTCAAACACAACTGGTTAATTATATCTACAAACTTGATCATTTGAAACAGGTATTTTTATGTGAAAGGAAGCGGAACATTAGCGTACATAATTTGCCCATGACAAACTTGTATTGAAAAATCTATTTCAATCTTGTTTAGCCAAATCATAGTTCCATGTTATTAGGCATGTATGTATGTTTCTAGCCTTCTGCTGATAACCTTAGGCTTTATCAAAGGAGAACTACGGTACTAAGATACGCACATTTCTGTAACAACGAGTTACAGAAGTTCCTAGAGAAAAGAAATGTGTTCGTGGACATGATGGAGAACCTTCTACTCTGTAACCACAAGAAAGAGGAAATTGCTAACTGGTCATAAAAGACGTACAATTTGAAATCTGTGAGCAATACATCATGAATGAAACACGACCAAAAGAACCACCTCTAGTCTTCAAGATCACCTACACACCACTCATCAAAACCCAGCAGCTAACAAAAGTATTGCTGAAAGACTGGCATTTAATTCCAGAACACCTGAAATTATGCAATCCGTTTCCCAGCGAACCAATTACTGCTTATTATAAAGCCAAAAATCTTGAAGGTGTACTTGTCAAATCAAGATTTATCAATAACCAGGTATTGGACTCATTACAAGGTTCACAAAAATGTTATTAGATGCACTTATGTGTATCTATGCACTCTAACATTTGACACGACTAATTTAGCCGAATATAAAATACTGGTTTTGGCGTACTACTGATGAAGCTCTGCTATTAGAGCATGAGAGCAGAAACCAGTCTAGTTGGGTCTTGGAACCATTTCTAGTCATTTTTACTTATTAAAAGTACACTGAAATCACCATAGAGGTGTTATTTTTTTTGCCTTGAGAAAATGCCATGAGCTCATGATTTCTCGGGCATTCCCTAACAAATGCTAGTCTGAGTACTGTACGTTATCCACGGAGCTCAGACTCCTGTCTAACGTCTGATATATCAAAGCATGCAGATTTATGCGATCTCACGCCTCAGCCAATTGGAGTCGACTTTACTAAACGTCATTGCATTCCCAAATCAGGACTACCGGTAAAAGTTTGATTGGTCAATTCGAATGCAGTGTTTTGTAATGCAACAACAGCCGGGCGCGTTATCGCGTAACACGATAACAGAGTGCGTGACGCAGGGCTTTTTAATCCATTGTCTATGACGCGCAACGGGTGAATGAAGGAAAACCCGATAAAGAAAGCGCCCGCTGATTGGTCAAAATCTAGGAGGTCAAGAGGCGGGGTCTTGCCTAATTAATCAGCGAATCTGCTCACATATCATAGACCCATGGCATTCGCCATGGGTCTATTACATAGAATAAACAAATGCCAGGTTCCCTTCCACTACGTAACGTCAGTTAGTTATACGGCCTACATGTACCTCCCCACTTCACACAATACACTGTTTAATATTTATGTGGTAGGACTCTGATAGCTAATACTTACTCATACAACAAACATAATGCTGTAGAAAGTTCTAACAGCAAGGTTTTTGAAGATAAATGAGGCTTCATTAGATTTTGATGTCAAGGAAAGTACTGGGCGTTTTTACCCCGAGACCCCTATTTTGCCCGGGGTAAAAACGCCCACTCAAATAAACATTATTAAGCAAATATTAAAATAGATTTTAATATTTTAATCATTTATAATTATGTAAATGGGTGTTTACATAAATGTGAAGGCCAGTGTGTGACATTAGGGTCAAATTTTCAAAATAACCAAATTAAATTCAGCTTCACATGGTTTTGCAGTCTAAGGTCTATATTTTGTCAAAAACAAAACCATTTTCCTATAACATGACCCTTTTTAGAGTAGCAACATGATAAACTAGCATATGGGACACAAATTTCACCTGTAACAGTGACACCAAATTGTTAATTTCTTTTAGAGCTCTCACCAGGTTATTGTTCAGGTATGGTAAAGACATGTTGCTTTTAAGCAATTATTTGCACCACATATAAGTTAAAAAAAAAACCATTAACACTATCCTTGTTCAACATTTGTTGAAAATCAAATATCAAGTTTCAGGAAATTTGACATATTATGATGATTGCAAAAATGTAGCTCTCACTTGACATAAAATTATATTATTTTAAGACAAACACTCACAAGTTCTCTAAAAGCAAGTTTGACAGCCAAAACTGCAACTATGAAGAGCAATGAAGATTTACAAACACTACTAGAAAGCATGTTATTGTAAGTAAAGCCTGGTGTTAACCAACATTTCACCTGTAACGCTGACACCAAATAGTCACTGTTACAGAGTGACAATCCTACAAATAACTAATAATAATAGTAATAAATGGTATCAAACCATTTAAACCTTTCTATTTAGTGATAAGATTGATGGTTTCTACATCAGATACTTGTTTCTGAGACTGGAAGTTTAGTTTGTTATAATAATCATTTCACCTGTAACGCTGACACCAACACCAAAAACACTTTTATCACTTTTCTTCACCGTAGTTCTACTTTAACCTGTCCTATGCCAAAGTTTTCATTGTATTAAAAAACTTGGTCATTATTTTAGCTAAAAACTCAATCATCAATCAAACAGGTGCTTTTGCTTCATTGTTTCAGCTGAAAAGAGGTACATGTATTTCACATGTAACGGAGTCAGTGTTGACACCAAACCTTTATTGCCTCTTATTTCAAATTCTAAGAGAAGGATTCAAAATTTAATGACATCTATATTCCAAGCCAATCTCCAGGATATATTTTTAGTTAAACTTGTTGACAAATACAGTTTGTCAAATTCAGAGTGCAGCTGCAAAGCATCACACTGTAACGTTTTTTTGATGACACCAAATTGATCTGCCAATATTTAAAATTGGTATATTTCTTGTACTTCTTTGAATTTCACTTTTGGTCTTCTTTAGTCTCTTTATTTAATAAAAGACTTCAATAATCACTTAAAATTTAGAATAGTTGACAGTTTCTACAAATATTATAATCAATGGTAAAGTTCACTCTGTAACAGGATTTGCTGACACCAAATATTACAGAGTGATGGTATTTTTAGCGGGCATATCAAAATGATACAAAGTTGCCGATGCACGAACATTGTGTTTAATATTAAGTTTTGGGTTATCGTCAATCATTTATAATTAAAAAGGACCAAATTTATCAATTGAAAGAATGAAAACTGTGCACCATTGGACAAGCTGTAAAAATGTCACGCAATTTTACCTAAAAATGTCATAATTCTGGCAAATTTTTGATCAAAATTATACAAATGCATTGTGGTGATTTTTTATTTTTTTATTTCAGTGGGTACATAGTGATATGGGCAACAAAGTAAAAACACAAATATTAGCAAACTGGTTATTTTAACATGGAAATGGCCCTTGAAAGGAAAGAACATGTGCATTATGCCACTGGCCTCCACATTTATGTAAACACCTATTTCCGTCACATTTATGGGACTGAGTTCAGGCTTAAACTTCGCATATACATGTAATTGAATACCCCATTTAATCTGCATAAAAAAAATGGCAAAAAAAATAGTTCATTCAAGAGATTTCAAGCAAATTTTTAAAAGAGGAAAAACGTAAATGATTTTGAAACTTTTGTCTTCAGCGCAATGGCAGGAACTCAGGCACGGACATCTTTGACACAGCACACAAAATTGATTAACGCACGTGTACATGTGGTTAGGTCGTAAGTGCATGCACGATCCGGAACTAGGCAAAAGCATACGGTCATCGTTGGCGAATTAAAAAAATTAGAGAGACTACAACTTATTTTGATTCATGGAGGGACAAAAATCACAACAATTCAAACAATGGAGTTAAAGCACTCAGTATTACACTAGTAATAGTAACACGGATTTGATACCAAAACCTTTGGCATGGTACACATACACGTATGTACACGTACTTGCATAAATTACTCCAACAATTTACAAATCAAGTTACCAAAGCATCCTGGTTTGAAGGGCAGTAATCAATTTATATGGTTTAGATTTGCAATGGTATTTTTTTGCAATGCCGTAACGTTTGTTGAAAATCGCACTACAGAATCGTAACGATAGCCACTGCGAGAACCCAACAGTGGCTATCGTACAGTATGCCACTACGAGAACCCAACAATAAACAAATATTGGACTTAGGACTTCTAGTAAAAGTTCAGCCCTCCCCTTGCTATTTTAGAGTTCCACTTCTTTTGATGCGCATGGTTGTAACAAATATTAACAAGAGAAAAACCTGCAGTCTTCAATTTTGTTATCTTTATTTAATTCATTTATGTGTTTTCTTTTTCAGTGACTCAGAGGTATTAACGATGTCTAGGGTAAGTTCATTGAAAAAAGCTGTCCTCTCTAAAATCCTTCTTTAACTCTATCAGGACCTCTGATAGGAGTGTCGTGGCCTCGTGGTGTGGAGCATTAAATTTGTGGTCTGCGGGTAATTCTGCAGGTTGTGGGTTCGAGTCTAGCCTGGGGTTGTGGTGCGTGTGCCCTTGGGCAAGGCACTTTGTCACTCATTGCTTCTCTCCGACCCAGGAGTAAATGGGTACCTGTGAGAGCACAGATGGTTATTGTGGTTGATTCTAGCTGCTTTGCGCCAAAATACCGGTAGCATCAAGCTGTAAACTCCACAAGGGAGCTGAGACTGTCTTTGGAATGTTTCACTGGCCCAATGAGCAGGGTAACAACGATGCTCATTGTAATGTCTGGAGCACCAGTACTGGTGGATACATGCGCTTTACAAATACCCACATTATCTAAGTATTTTATACATTGCTTTTGGCATGATATCAAAGAATCAAAAGTTGTGAATCCCCAAAATTGTAAATTTCACTTTACGACCAACAGAGGGCAGCACTGTCTTCACGGGATCTTAATGCGGCAACATCCCATGAACATCCCATGAGCAAGCTGCCAGTGCCCTCCAAGCCTCGCCAGGTGAAACTGAAAGTCAAGCCGTGGACGAGGTGAGTTAAAATACTTGTTATAATAAATAATTCAAATGGGAGGCTAATCATCCTTACTCGCAGCTGAGAAGCTGAATTGCGAAGGACGCGGCTACAATGTGGTCGAGCCGCTGGCATGTAAAGGCGCCTTTGGCAGCCAGCCACATCAACCCATATATGACCACGGAGCACAGCCTGAGATCAAGAGTGGTTTTTTTTTTGGAAGGAGGGTACCGGAGGGCCTAGAGAAAAAACCCTCCTGGCACAGGAGAGAACCAATGCACAATTCTACTCGCATATGGTCCTAGCCGGCAGTGGCGGCGCTACAGTGGGGATCATTCAATTTTTTAATGAGTAACATTGCATCGTTGTCAAAGAAGCATTTGCCCCCCCCCCCAGTTCCCCCCCCCCATATCTACAAATAGAGTAATTGTGTTTATTTTCTACGCTGATAAGATTCATATCATCGGTTCTGTGGACATATTTTGGGCCAATAAAAGCATTAAAAATGACTACACTTCTAAGTTGCTCTAGTGGCTTATTTCTAGACCATTGACAATGGGCACGCACACGCGTACACAGACTTTTAGTTCCGGTTCTTTTCAGAACCACACATTCTCACAAAAGAGCTTTAATCACATGGTGCTACCGCAAACTTATCTTGTCTTAGTATTTTTCCACCATGCAAACCTTCAAATCTCATGAGACTTTAAGCTGCCATTTATTTATTGGCTCTTCCTTACTTTCCCCTTAAGGGCCGTTCACACAATTATCAACATTTTCACAAGTGTACAAAGCGTACACTTTTTCAAGACCCCCTCCCCCCTAAAAGTGTACGAAAAAAATGTTGATTTTTTTTTCACACAAGTCTATATACATGTACATGTATAGACACTTGCATGTGACTTCGTCGAACAGCTTTTCACTGTCTCTGGCCCTCACACACGACATCTGCTCGCTTGCGTTGATCATTCACAAATACAAAAGCATTGAGAAACTCTCTGTATTTGTTGGTCGGATTCTTGTGGACAATACATCCTTGTCAAATGACGAATTTTAACAATTGGTCCAAGTAAACAGCGCGGCTTGTCCGCCATTGGCATTGCTAGTGAGTGCCAGTGTTATTCAACCGGTGTAGCGTGAATATCCGACTCCATGCAATGTGGACTCATTGGTAGTAGTGCGCACGCGTGAGTACGATACTACATGTATGCTATTTTGAGGATCGTTTGGGGAGAGTGACCTGTCACGTGCGAGGGATTAACCAATAAAAGGGAAAAAGGGGTCCGATTTTCATAGGAGTCGGATTTTCATGTGACACCGGCCGTTAAAAACATGCAGTGGATACGGACTATACATGTACATGTACATCGTGTACTTGTACAGTACAGTACATTTTCATGTACGTGTGTAGCACAATGCCGCGCATGCTGTACACAATACGTTCATGGGATGCAATGCGGGGCCTGGCGCGGGGCGCGACCGGCTCGGCAAGTGCTCGATCGGCATCGGTTGCGGCTGTCGGCTGTGGTGACGGGCGAGAAAACAGATCAACATTTAAAAAAAAAAAAGCGTTAGGCGGGCATTAACGGGTGAAAAAACATATCGACATTAAAAAAAAAAGGCGTACGGCGGCCAATAACCCCTCCCCCCCCCAGCGTACGGTTTGTACACTCGTGAAAATGTTGATAATTGTGAACGGCCCCTTAGATTTTGGATATTATCAGATTTTGTTTTGACTGCCCCAAAAACTATTTCCTTGCCCCCCACTTTCCAATTGCCCCCACCCCTCCCAATTTCTCCCACCCCTCCCCTACATTTTAGAGTCTGGTGCCGCCACTGCTAGTCGGGAACGCACCAGGGCCACAGTGGTGCGAGGCGAGCGCTTGACGCACTATAGCCATCCATGCCACCCAAGTTAGCAAGGAAACAGGAATACATGCAAACAAGGCATAATAATTTTGTCAGTTTGAGTGTTTTTAGGTGGTGAACGTTACAATGTGGAGGAACCCTTCCAGCACTGTACATTGGTCATTCTGTCAATTTAAGATCCAAAGGTTTTTTTTCTTGTCACTGTTATTTTGGTTAATATGGCATTCAAATGTCATCAAGGCCACCCAAAATATATATTTTTTTGCAATTTTTTTTGGGTGTACAATCACATGCAGGCGTCTGCATGTAGTCAAGGGTAAAAGGTAATAATTGATGTTTTGGGGGGTTTTCTTTCTAATTTTTTCCAAAAACAAAGTACGGTAGTGTAGGGGCTGTCAGAATAGGGTAGAAAGGAAAGCCGGAAGCAAAACTATTTTCTTTTCGGCCTAAGCATGACTCTGTGCTCTCGGAGGACAACTGCATTAAGGAGTGCCTCAGAATTATTAACCCTAACGTACCTAAATCCATCAAAATCCACCCCCCTGTTTCGGGGGTGGGGGATTCAGGATACCTCCATATCGAACAAACTGGGGGATTTTGATGGATTCAGGATCTCAACAGTTTAACTCTTTTGCAATGTTTGTGGTCAAGTAAATACTGCTGGCACTAGCCCTGCCAAGTCTGTCACATACTGTACAAACATGAACATACATGTACTGGGTGGACTTGCATTGGAGGGTCACGTGCTGGAGGAAAGATACAAATAATGTGCGAAAACGTGGCGAACGCAACGCCATTTACGCGCAAAGAACACCATGTGCATCGCTAATAATTATGTGTGCGCATCGCGTAAATACTCGGTGCGCATTTCTTGCTTCGCGCGTGTTGAGCTAGGTCACGTGCTGGAGGAAAGATACATTTAGCTCCATTACTTTACGTTAATTTGTTGCGCGTCTATGAGAGACAACCAAAATGGCGAAGATTTATAGCACAGTGACTGGGCGCATGTGGATGCGCTGCCGATCTAGTCTTTTCATTCTATATCTAGGGTTTACGGGCTGAAACATGCGCTAATGTCTTTCACACAAATTTATTGCGCCAGACGTATTCACTTCGGTACTGATCCATGCTGGGGTCGTCATGCATTGGTGTATTTTGATGGATCCTATGCAACAACACACATCACAATTTTCATGCAAGCATGGTATCCTGAATCCGTCAAAATCCACCAGAAATTTAGGTGATGGATTTTGAAGACTCTATGGAAAAACATGCTGTATTTTTTTTATGCCACCATGGTATCCTGAATCCGCAAGAATCCATCAAGACTTTTGCTGGTGGATTCTGGCGGATTCAGGATGCGGTACCTCCAGAATCTACACTGGGGGATTCTGATGGATTCAGGATACCAGCATTTTTTGCATGACAAAATTGAGGTATTTTGGCAGATTCAGGATACTTTCTAGTAAAAGAACCCCAGGAGTTAGGGTTAAATTAAGTATGCCAGATGTAACAGGGGGGTAGGTTAAAAAGTAGACCCACAATTTATAGAATGGCCCATGTATGCTCTTTGTTTTCTAATAAATTAAAGGTCTGCAGTGATTTTGATTGTCCAATTAGGCCCTAACTGATGAGATTGCCATTTAGACGCTTACATTTTTGGTTCACTTACATGAAACTGAAAACCACTTTGCAGTGTTCTCCAACTTTGAAAATTAAAGGTCGGTGCGCCGTCAAAAAGCGAAGGGTTGGGGCGCTCTGTGCAGTCATACATTTCTATAAGCTAGGGGCGCTATTTGCAGATGAACATGTAATTTATGTATGGATAACAGCTTTTAGGCCATTTCTAAAACAGTAACACTTACAGTTTAATACAATACTGGCTCAGCATCATCTTTTTTAACACATCAGTGACCAGGGTCTTGAGCTCCTGCTTTTTAGTGCAGATGTCTTACCACTCGACCACCGAGCTTGCGGTATCAATTGGCTGGTTTGAATCTGATGTACATAGCAGTGGGTACCGCATTTTAACTATTCATAAATTAGAGGATGCTGAAACAGTTTCTGAACAAGAGTCATAAATTTCTTGTTGATTGTTATACATTTGTATTAACTTTGTGTCCTCCTTTCTTAACACAACACCCCCTGCCCCCCCCCCCAAAAAAAAACCTCCTCACAGGGTAACGACAAAGGTGCAGTGACTGCGGCTGCGAAGCCTGGAAAACCGAGTAAGATTTTCAAACTTTTAAGATGGCTCTTAACTTTTAATTAGAGGCAGGACTTGCGCCAGTCTATTTAATATAGGGCAATTCCACATCAAAGTGGACATGACACCAAACAATTCAAATACATGTGACTTACATGTAAACAAATTTGACGTCAAATGAAAGCTGAAACTAAAGTCTATAGTTTCAAGATTTGAAGTCGGAATTTTATTTTTGATACATTTCGGTACCAAAAAATAGGATTACGTAATAATCCTGTTTTAATCCTAAAAATGTGATTATTAGTGATATGAAAGTATTCTACCAATACACACACAAAAATATGTACTAATGCCATCAGTTTCTGTCATGAGAAAGTATTGGTCTTGAAAAACTGACTGAAACTTTTTTTTTAGGTTTTGCGTAATTTGTTTCGCTTCAGTGACTTCTAATATTTCAGCCTTCGAAAAAAAAACTTGCAGTATGAATGCATTGAAAGTTATTGTGCAAAGCAAATTTAGGTAGGCCTTCAATATGCCATTATAACTGACACTGCTGTACATTGTACTTCTTGTTTTTTAATTACAATTAATTAAATCACGTCCTTCCGTTACCAAATTGGTAACGGAAGGACGGTAACGGAAGGACAAATCGTATTTTTATCAAATGTTACGACATTTGTGCTCATGCATGTCATGGTCGAAAAATGAAAATCACTGCAAATACATGCATGCATAATGACCATTGAAAGGACTTTCATGTGACCCACCTTCACAAAAGCGGGATAAGCAGGGCAAGGTGTTTATTACAAAGGATGGCACAGGCATGTACAACATGTACAATGTACATACATATGTCAATATACCAGTACTTGTACATGTATGGAGTTGTTACAGAAAATCAAATCTTAAAGTTGCTGCCATCACCATTCATGGACAATACAGAAAGATACAAATTCTGTGAAGCCATTCCAGAAACAAATTAAGTCAAAAATGAGATGGCAGAAAGTACCAGTACTTATGGGCACTTTCATTCGATTTACATGTGTAAGACATGTGAGGTGCAATCTTTGACAAATTATGCCCAAGTTAACAACTTCAATTTGGATGTTTATAAGTTAATTGTTACTACTCTAAATTATTATAATTTGACTTCAAACATTGAATTTAAAGTTCAATTAAAAGCAACACCTAAAAGCATAATGATTATGAAGCCATCAGTTCTACCGGTAGATGTTTTTACCTTCAATGTACATGTAGGCTGGTCGCCCCCCCCCCCTTTTTTTAGGTAAACCACTGAACCTACCGGTATTACTATTAAAAGTTGTTGGTGAACATGTAATCAATATACTCAAGTGTTCAAAAAGAAAAAGAAAACTATTTTTATGCCTATAAAAGAAAAAACAATCCAGAAACATTTGCTTAAATAAATAAATAAATAAATTTAAAACTAAAAATTGTCTTGTCCTGGCAAACTACATTTAGTTATACATTTAGTTTGTACATGTGTTTTATTCCCACTGGAACAGAGAAAAAAAACAATCCAGAAACATTTGCTTAAAATGGAAATGGGTTAGCTGATAGTCGAGGTGTCCATTAATTTGATTTGTATAATTTGATACTTATTAGATACACACTAGGTATTTTAACATACAGATGGTTTAGGTCAATTATATTTAAACTTTTAAGGATTGAGGTGATTGGTTTGAAGTCCATTTCTGTAGTTGTCTTGTGTTCGTGAATTACATGTATGTGTTTTTTGTTGTTTTCGTTTTTCATTTGTTATCATTAATGAGCAGGCTTCTATCTTTATTTCAATAGTTTCTTGGGTATAATTATTTATGCCAGGTCTGCATATTGTTGATTTCACATTACACATTTCAGCAATTTATTTCACTTGTATTACTAGTGTAAATTCACATTTTGTTCATGCTATAATTGAGTACATGTAAACCTTTTGTCCTTCCGTTACTGTCCTTCCGTTACCGAATTATAATCCACTTAAAACCCCTCTAATTATATTACCGAAACACTTAAAGTCAAATGAAAGGCGGTATAGTATAGATAAAGCTTCAGGGATTCCATTTCCTACCGGTACCTTTAAAATATAATTGCCACATTAAATGCACATAGTTTACGCAAAACGCGTGTAAGTTGGAAAACTCTTGTCCGTTTTACCGTCCTTCCGTTACCGACCTCATTAATATTCATAATTCGTAAACGGGAGGCATTCATGCCCCCCAAAAGTGTGGAAATTGAAGGTAGCATTATAGCAATACAATTGTGACATTTGTTTGTTGTAACTAATAACAGTGTCTGTGATACAAACATTTGAAATTTTGTTTAATGAGTGAAAACGTCCTTCCGTTACCGTGGAATTGCCCTATACCATTACGAAGAGCCATGGTCTATGATACGGTATGTGACCAGATTTGCTGATTCATTATGCAAGACAGCCACTTTTTGACCTCTAGATTTTGACCAATCAGTGGGTGCTTTCTAAATCGGGTCTTGGGTCATTCACCCATTGTCGCATCATAGACGTGGGTAAAAATAACCTAGACACAGTAAAAACAAAGGCTGTGGTCACGCGCTGTGTATTATGTGACACGATATGCGTAAAGCTTGACTAGGTTTTACAGATCCATGCACGGCCGTTGTTATATTACAAAACATTGCATTCGAATTGACCAATCAAACATTTAGTCCTTATTAAGGTCATAAAAGGTCCCCCAATATTACTACCACATTGGTGCATCAAAACAGATTCACGTTTATGACGCTTGCAAAAATGCAAGTTACACATAAAGCTAAAGAGCTCACTAAAATAGGAGTTAGCTCTTAATTAGCTTTACGGTGTGAATTTCATTTTGAAAATCCCCCATCAATGACATTCAAAATCTTTCTTTTTCATATAGTCTCAGAAGTAACTAAGTAATTTGTAAAGTTGGTTACGGGTACTCGTTACTATAAGCTGGAACCGGTTCCTGACATCAGCGGTCGGGTACTCAGTTCCAATGAACAGCCCTAATGCAAACTGTATCAATATATGCTCCTTGATATACGGGTGATACTCAGACTAAAGGAGCACTCACCAACATCACAGACTTGACGTCACACAAAATTCTCAGCAAAGCTCACCAGATTTGAAAAGCGTTAAAGTTTTGAGAGTTTGCAGAATGAACGCTTGCAACATTACAAATTTGCAATGTCGGTTTGCTTTTGTGCTCCATAATAAGCTGGCTTTAAATGGCTGAGCTAACCCTAACCCGCCAGAGTATGTTTGGTAGAACCCTGCCAAACGTAGCAACATGCAACACTTGACTAAGTGACAAGCCTGTCAAATGTAGCAAGATCCATCAGGGGAAAAGTCTCCATTGCCTCAGAGTCTGTGGTCACCGCATGCAGCAGGATGCAACTGTTGCATTGTTCAATGGGACTAGCTCTCATTGTTTCAGAATTGGCCATTCATGCACTGATGTTGCAAAAGCAAACAAACCGGAAAACAAACCACAAAAGAAAACTCAGTTCAAATGCGTGTGTATTGCAATTATTTTGCTTTGTAAATAAATACTAATTTCTTTATACTTTTTTTTCAAATTCACTCAAAAGTGTCAATTTTGGTCAGGTCAAAAACTTCAAATTTTGCCTCACAATATGTGATGCGATCAAGCTAACTGAGTCGTTTGTCGGAAATTTTCATTTGGAGGTTCCAGCCAAAATCGGGCCACTTCATCACATCACTTCATCACATCTCTTGGGTTCCGACTTTTTGAACTAAAGATGGTATCAGCATGTGGTTTTCACAGCAGTAATGCTGAGATTGTGCCCTTTTCAAATCTGTAAAAGAACAATTGACCAGGGTCGACAAACAAGTCATTCAGCTTGATCGCACCACATACGTGCATTGCTAATTTCACAAAAAGCTTTACAGCAAGTTGTGTTAGTTTGTTTTTGTGGGTGTTTTTTTATTTAAGCAAAATAATTTTTTTTGTCAATTGATCAAAGCACAAACTGAAAAGTACTACAATGTAAGTTTACATGAGCTCAAGTGTCAACAAGTACCAAGTGGTACAACCCACGGCAGCACCCGGGCCGTACCGGTACTCGAGAGTACAGAACAAAATGAAAACGAATGGGGCGTGATCTAATATGCACAAATATGCAAATTAGATGCATGGGCATCAGTGTTATCAAAAGCGGCCCTTGGAAGCAAAGCTATAATTCTTGAGTTGCAAGAATACAATATATGGCCAAGTATACAAACCCACCCACCAATCAAAATCAACATAAGCAGCTCAAGCCCATGGCTGTGGAAAAAAGTGGCTTATTTCTTTCATGTTTTCTTTTAATTGCTTTTTGCAAAATACCACTTTCCCTTAAATGCTGCAGTCGTTGCTCGCAACCCAGCACCTGCTAGAAGCACAGCAAGGCCTAGGCCTACTAACACCTCAACAGCTAAGCCTGGCGTGACCAGCGCTTCTGACGGTGAGTCATTATGCAAGGTTTGCTTCTCAAAATCAAAGCTGTGTTTGTGCTGATTTTTTTCCCCCCGTAGTTTAAAAGTAACTTCCACTGACCAACCTTTGCCACTTGAAACTCACAAGATCAGTTTTACTGAGATACAGGATGAGTAAAAAGAAAAAGAGAAACCCAAATGTCGGGACTATTGTATTAGTGAAGTTCTGCATGTAGCACTTTCAAAATCTAGGCTATGAAAGCCCAATTCATAGGCTTTCTTTTAGTACAAGATTCATTCAAATCACTCATGTGCTTTCCAAGTTACAGAATTTTAAACACAACCACCATTTTAGAGTTCTTTCGCGGATCACAAAAAAGGTGCGCATTCTTTCAGCAAAACGAATACAATTCACACATATCCCTATGAGATTTGTTTTCGTTTTGCTGAAAGAACACTTACCTTTTTGTGATCCGTGGACAGCACAGAACTTTAAAAACGGTGTTGTGTTTTTGAATTATAATTATTTTGAAAATAAAGATGACGTCACATCATTGCTATAATTGCTATCACTCAGTCATGCATGAACATTAAAGCATTTCAAAGAACGGCTTTCATCGAGCTGCCACAGTGGCCTAGTGGATAGCAGAATGAATATGGATCGAAAGATCTGCGGTTTGAACCCGCGTCCATTTTCATCAAATATTTTTTGTTGGTTGGGATGAGTTTATTGAAGGGAATACACTACGAGAACCTAAGTGTCTTCCATCCACACAGCGTGATAAATATTCATGTTAGGGTGCGTGATGTCATTGGTTAAAATAGGATGTACGCTGCAAATATAAAATACGCAGGCTGGAAGAAAAAAACAGTCTGGTTCCTTTTTGTACAAAAAACCATTATCATTCAATACTATTACTGGATACAGGGAACATGACTGAAATGGTGGCACTATAATAAAGGTATATTGTGCATTTTTTTTTTCAATGTGGAGAAAAAAAATCAATGTAGAAATCGTTGACACCAAAACATTTTTTGTTAAAATGAGATAATTACACTTTGTAACAATCCAGATGCCCACAGTAGAAAAAAGAATACCTGTTTTGTTAAAATCTGATAAAAGTCTTTGGGAAAAGTTTAAAAAAAAAAATTAAAAAAAGATTTTAATTGTTGACGAGAACAGACCATCTCTGAATCTCGCTCGATTGTCAAACTCAGGCCCCAAAAAGATGGACGCATCTACCACCATACTGCGCCTGCAGCAGGAGAAGCGAGACCTGCTGCAGACAAACATCGACCTGCAGAGCCAGCTAAGTGACTCCAGGGACGAAGTGGCCAAGGCCAAGGTGCGGTAAATGCAATGAACAGAGTACTTGGTGACAGATGGAATGTTTCTTGTGGAATGGAACAGTCCGTCTGTCACCTCCAGTGCATTCAATTACTTCTCCTGCACTTACTCATGCAAGCGCGACAGCGTTAGATTTACCTCTCACATGACTTGTCGCGCTTAATCAAGCCTGGCCCAAGTAACCGACTTGCCGAGCCGGTTACTTAGGTAAATATCCCATAAGGCCATGCAACGTCCTGCGGGCGCCTCATCAGGCCGTGTCCAAAAACGGGCTTGCACGGAGCATAGAGCTACAAACACTATATAGCTCTATGTGTCCCCGCGTATTTTCACTGGGCATGGACGTGCTCTACAGTTAATTGATTCGAATGTAGCGTGGGAAAACTGTTGCAACCTGACGCCACTTCTGCAATTGTGTAAAAAGTCTATGGAGAGTCAAAACATTTTCCTCAGAAAATTGGAAATATTTCTCAGTCCCAGATTCATGTCTTATCATTTTTGCAATGAATGACCTTCATTGAGAGGATATATGAAGAAGATTTAATGGGGGGGGGGGCAAAAATGTCCCTACCCCCCACTAAAACCATGAAAAATGATAAATCGAGAAAATGTTGAGAAAAACATGAATTTTCTGGAAAATATGTTTTGCCCCCCTCGAGAAAAAATCCTGGCGATGCCCATATTTCCAGCTCTTGCACGAAACTTTACCCGAAACCGTTTATTTAGCTTCACTGCGCGTGTCTGTCATTACGCGAGGAGCCAGGCGCGGGTAAGCTGGGGGAAGTAATCGAACGCACTCCTCATAAAATCATTCTTACCATTGCACTCATAAAAAATCTTTCTTTGTTTTTTTTGTATTCCAACAGCTGAACTACGAGCAGTCACTTATTCCATTCCACCCGGCTTCGCCTTGTGGAATGGAATATTCCGTCTGTCACCTCATGAAATTATTCTTACCATTGCACTCGTTAACATTCGTTACTTGTATTTTGGTATCCCAACAGCTTCACATCGACCGTATCCAGAAGGAATTGGATGTGGACGAAAAAAAAATGGAAAAGATTACAGAAAAAATAACCAGGTACCTTAGTGAAAAAATCGTTACAAGGTGGATAAAAGCACAATTTTTTCACCAAAGCATCTCTCTTTTCGAAGAAAAGACGGACGCAAGAAATTGGATGATTAAAAGGTCAATTTATGACTTCATTATGACGTCATCAGCTAATTAAAGCCATTCCTCTGGCGAGAGGACCATCAAGCTTCTTTTATAACCCTTAAACGCTCCATCTCAACTCAGTACTGGCTACGATTCTCTGACCCAGAGGTATAGAAACCATCTTCAAAGTAGATGGTATTACCCAGGAAGGTAAACCCATTGCATTTTCCTCAAAAAGCCTATAGATCCTGTTCCAGAGCATATTCTTCAATATCGAGAGGAAGCTGTGGCACTGCTGCAGCTTTATTCGGCTGCAACTTCATTGTTGTCACTGACCATTACAACCATTGGTTACAATTTGGTGCAAAATCCTAGCCAGTGCACCACCTCGCTTGTAGCGTCTTAAGCTACAAGGATACGACTTCAACGATGTCTACAAACCTGGTCCTACGATGGTGATCGCAGATGCACCCGACAGATTGCCCAACTCTCCAAGCTCGACAACGTAACATGTGATGAATCTGTAACTTAGATACACTGAGATGGTCATCCGACTGTAACTTATGTTATGTTTTTTGTCTGCCTATCTTTGGAATAAGTTTAAACATTTAAGATACCAATAATCAATTACAAAAAACTCTCTTGGCATAGAATTTGAACCATTCTCTCTGACTTAAGAACAAAAACTCACATTGCCACTTATGGTTCGCATGTTAAAACAAGGTGCCAAAATGATCACCCCAAATCCATGATTTTAGCACCTTTTTTTTTACCAAAAAAGGCTTTTTTGGCCCAAAACAACATCCGGTACTACATTACATCCCACTGACATACCACTCTAATGAAAGATCTTGTTGTTCCCTTTAATTTGATACCACATTTGTTGTTGTGATGTTTGTAGTTCTGAAGATATTATCAATTTTGTTTATGTAATAGTTAGCTGATGACGTCATAATGAAGTCATACATGTACATGTCCTTCCCATCATCCAATTTTTTGCGTCCATCTTTTTTTCGAAAATGTATACCATGGAGATACTTTGTTGAAAAAATGGTGCTTTTGTCCACCGTGTCACGATCCTTGGCATTATTATGCCCCGCCGGCGAAGCCGAAGGGGCATACTGTTTCCACCTTGTCCGTCCGTCCGTGTGTGTGTGTGTGCGGGGGGGGGGGGGGGGGGGGGGGGGGGGGTGACTACAAATTTGTATCCTTGTGGAGACACACACACAATAGGGAACAAAACATTGTAAAGGTCTCCACAGGGCAATTTCTATAGATGAATAGGTCTCCACAAGGTTTTCACGAAATAGATATATGGGTTTTACTCAAAAAATAGGAATTTCCAAGGTGGGTTGATTTGTCGCAAATGGAAGAGTTTTAGAAAAGGGATATTAAGTCCAAATTTCAGCCAAGGAAGCTAATTCTGGTTAAAATAAGAGCATTTTGAAACTTCACTTTCAAAATTGAACACTTTACTACACGAGAACAAAGGAACGTCTCCTATACAAATTTGCGAGTGTGTGTGTGTGTGTGTGCATGTGCATACAAATGGTTCCACATCGGAATCTGGATTGTCCATGTATGTCTTGAACCTTGATACAATGTAGCTTGCTAGTATAACTTACATGTGTAAGTTTGGACCCCATAAGACAGGCCAAGGTCATTAGGATTAAAACAATAGGATTTTATTTCATTTGATTTTTTTAAATAGTTTTTTCTTAATTTTTTTTTTTTACGAAACCAGTGTATGTACATGTGGCTTGCTAGTATAACTTATAAGTTTGGACCCCACAAGACAAAGGCCAAGGTCATTAGAATTGAAACAAAAGGATTTTATTTTGTTTTATTATTTTCATTTCCCCCCCACCAAACCAATATACATGTGCAAATGTAATCACTCACTCAAGTATTAGGGGCCTGTACACTGTCTATGCATGTACATGTTTTGTGTATAATCAATGTGGCTTCTTCACCTTTTTTCTTGGACAGCCATATTTTTAATTGAAACAACAGAAAACAAACACATGACATGTACATGTATCCAAAACTTGAGACTTGCATCGTAGTACATGTATATGTATCCAAAACTTGAGACTTGCATCGTAGTACATGTACATGTTTATGCAGCTCTGTAGGTTGTTTTTAGGATTTTGAGTCACTTTAGGATCCCATAGGCCAACTGTTCGCATTATTAAAACCCAAAGAAATAATGTCGTGATGATAACTCAAGCTTATTCAAATAAGTATATATTCTTTTGATTATTTAAGAATTCTTATTTTCATGTAGGCCTTGTAAATGCTCAAAGGATTACGCTAAAAGGATTTGCCTTTGAGAAAGGTCTTGCTTTAGACTGAAAATATTCTGTCGCTAAAAACAAAAATTCATTATGGGATCATAGCCTAAAGAAAACAATAACGATGTTGAACGTTCCATGTGACCCAGTTAATGTTAATAATAGAGTGGTGCTATGTGATGGAAATAGGCATGGTTGCGGGGCATTTGTGTTTTTTAACACTACTTTTCTTGTTGTCACTAAGGTACATGTCACTGGTGACGTCACAGGATCTGAAACTTTTGAAGAAGGAGAGACATCTCAAAGATTCCAAGGTGGGGTGTAGAGGGTAAGGGCATTTTCGACTGTTTGCCAGTAATTCATTTACACCACTATTTGTCCAAGCAAAGACTCTAATTCAAACAACATCGTGTAATGATGACGTCATGATGACGTCATCAGGTGTTTATTTATAGGCAATTAAATTGTGACACTTTTAATATTTAAAAATGCATAAGAAGTCAACCGTACGCGTCCGCAGCATTCTGTTGCCGGCAAGTGGTAGAGTAGGTTGAGGTCTTTATTTCATTCAGTGTGCGTGCAATCACGTGACCCTTGCTTCCGGTCGAAAAAGGCCAAAACCGGAAGTGGCTTATTTTTTAAAAGCGGTAATAGGTATGAACTTGCTTTTAACGGTGTTAGTCACTTGGCTGATAGTATTCTGCAAATCATCTACCGATGACGTCATGCAATCTTCGAGCGCCCTCTAGCGACAGGTTGAAAAAAAATTTAAATGTATTTTGAATAGATGTCTGAGGTGAAGTTTGTCAGAATCACCTTAATATTGGTGTATATGATGACCTTGACCCACTTAAGACGTGTGCGTAGTTTTAGGCGAATGACGTCATCAGACCGGAAGTTATAATAAAAAGACTCTTTTTCATTTGAAAATTCCTGAAAAATCAACCATGGCAGTTATATTAGTTTTTACTTCAATTGTCGATTCAAGGGTAGGTCTAAAATATTTCAAAGCTTCGAGGCAATAAGCGAACTCGGACATGCCCTGCGTACGCTTAAAAGTTCAGGTTGACAATACATCTGCTTTAAAATATGCACAGGACGTCCACAATGTATATGTACATGCACGAACGTTGTACATACGCACATACATCGTATGTCAGTCAGCCCGCAGAGCACGTGTTGCTGAGGTCAAATCCTGTCCACAGTGACCGTTTTAGCCGATTCCGCCTAACTTTGACAGATTTTATGTTCATGCATGCGCATAGTCAGGGACTTATAATTGATAAAAAAATCATTCTGCAGAAAAGCCCTATGTTACGTATTTAAAGGTGCAGTTTTTCTGCAGTGGGATTTTCCACAAGTCTTTTCCTATACAACACTGATATCTTACTGAGTTGTTCTGAACTTCGGCCAAGAATTACTATGAGAAGGACAGAGAAATCATATTTTTTCGCGCTGTCATTTGATTCAAAATATTCCCAAGAGTCAGAATATCAAGTACTATTTTCTGAAAATGTTTCAGTTCAAAAGCAAATCACATATTTAAAGGTGCAGTTTTTCTGCAGTGGGATTTTTGAGCCCATTGACTTTGAATTTCATCTAAAAATATGCGGACTTTGGATAACTGTGCGCTGAATTACCCCAAGCTAGACTTGCCCTAAATTAAATAGCTGGGAAAAGTGTCACGATATAAATAACACTATTTTCTACTCACAATATTAGTTGTGGAGACAGCAAATGGCAAGTGAAGTGCGCCGCACCTGCGGCGTACACGTAACCAAGCTCCTTAGCAACTTTAAGATACGCGCTATAAATTTGGCTTCAGTAAGCGCCCAACTATGCGGTTTGTGCATGCAGTGTAATGCCAATGCGCCCAATTCCGCACCGCACACTAAAAGAGCCCAACGCGCAACAGCGCTTTCACTGGTACCCTGTACTGCCAAGCACTCATGCTTGCGCACTATGTACATTTTATGTGCGCAGCT